ATATTAAAGCTGCAGAAAAGAAGGTGAAGTGATGTATTTCATGCCCACATTTTATGCCCACTCACGAAGCCGAACTTCAGAGAGGTTCTGGTGGGTGCGAATGGATAAAGAAGTGGAAACAGCAGTGAAAAACTGCCACATTTGCCTGGTGGCCGATTAATCTGCCAGGACTCTACCAGCACCATTGCAACCTGTTGAATGGCCTGGAAGACCATGTAAAAAGCTTGCCCTAGATATTGTTGGTCCCTTGGAGCACACACCTCACAACAGTAGATTTACCATAACGCTTGTGGATTACCACTCCAAGTGGCCAGAGGTATATTTTTGTCATGAGGTATCCACGAGCATAGTGAAATACTTTTTAACAAGTGTTTTTTCCCGTGAAGGATACCCTGAGGAAGTCATTTGCGACAATGGATCTCAGTTCACTTCACGTGAATTCATTACTTTTCTGGAAGACAGGGCCATCAGGCTGCTGCATTCATCAGTGTACTACCCCCAGGTGAATGGGCAAGTATACCGGTCCAACTGAACATTCGAAAACTTTGTTCAAGTTTCATTTCTCGAAGAGCACCCGCTTCGACAAGCAGTCATGGACTACCTTGCAATATACAGGGCTACCCCACAGGCAACCACTGGGGTTGCCCCTGCTATTGTGCTGCATGGTAGAATGCCCCGAACCAGGCTGGATGTCGTCAGCCTCTCAGCATCAGCCTTTGCTAAAGAACCCGCTAAAGAGTTGACGCGAATTGGTCGTAGGGTCTAGGGAGAACGACAGAGCAGCAAGCTGTGGGCGGATAAGAGGAGAGCTGCCAAAAAGCGTAGGATGGATGTAGGAGACACTGTTCGTGTCAATAAACCATCCGTTCTCTTCAAGGGCAACTGCTCCTTCTCCTCACCAACTAAAGTGTTAAAAAGGAAGGAGCCTGTTTCTTACAGGCTTGAAGACATTCGTACGCGGAATGCCTCCAAGCTGTCCAGGACCGAAGAGGGGTGTGTGTTTGCCGCCAGGCGCAGCTGCCTGTGCCACAGTCTTCAGCCACGATACCGCAGCTACCTAGGCTACAACCTTCCCTGCCGCAGCCCCGGTCTCCTGGTGTGCTGTAACCTGCCGTGCCGCAGCCGCAGTTTCCTGGTGTGCAGCAACCCGCCGTGCCACCGCCACAGTTTCCTGGCGTACTGCTACCTGGCGAGCCGCGGCCGCCGTCTCCTGGTGTAGTGCAGCCTCCCGAGCTGCAGCTGCTCTCAGGGACGCAGTCACTACCTTCAGTACTTCAGCAACCAGCTTCCAGTAGTGCAACATTCAGAGAGGCCGATCCAAAGACCTCGGCCAGCAGCTCGGCTTCAAGACTATCACAAACTTTTAGTTTACGACTTAAACTTTGTATATTTTGTACTATGTACTGGGGTAGTGTATACTTTGGTTTTTGTTGTAATATGTACTAACATCTAACCACGAAAATTAAGGGAGGCAGTATGTTGTATTCAATTCTGGTTTCGCTTTTGTTCTTTCAACCCCAGGGGATGCATTAACTCATTGTTATATAAACGATGTACACAGACAATAAAGGAAGGTTCTCGTTTCGTACATCGGGGCAGCTTGACCCTGACTCCTTTTCCTGGGATCCTACAGTAGCCACCTTTCGTTTAGTCCTTGGAATGTTTGCTGGATGGCGGTACTTGTAATGATCAATATATGATGAAAAGATGCCAGATGGCGGTACTTGGAGTGTTCACTAAATGAACGGACAGACAGACAGATGAGTGCACGAACACTTCACCCCACTCATCATCATTCACTCCGTGGATATGCTGTGATTTTTTCATTCAAAGATGGGCTGATGGAAAAGCTTTGAATGGCCGCCACGCCAGCACTGATGCGCTCACAAGACAATTGTTCTTCGTCCCCCACTTCTTTACTCGTGCTTGTCTTGTTAGCATAGCATTCCCCCCTCCACAGACAAAGTCCGCCGGGTGGTTAAAGATTACATGAATGCGGAGTCGCGTGGATGACAGCACTTAAGGCACGCAACGTGAGCAAGTTGCTGTTGCTGAGAATGGTAGCTGTCATGAAAAAGGTGAGCTTTCAAGTACGTCAGGTCACTGAGGCGATCGAGATGACAAAGAGGCTGGAGTAATGTGCCAGAAACTTTTGACACAGGCCACGCTTGCAAAGCGGCGGCCACAGCCAAACTATGTCACCCTTGTCATAATACACATCCTTGTGGCGCAAATTGTGGATGATCTTGGGACGGTCCTGGGATGCCAACGTACGAAGCTGAGCTACACGCCGTGCTTCCTCTGCGTGGCAGAGAGTCTGAGCAATAGAAGAGTCCTCATCAGTATTAAAAAGCAGAATTGGGTTAAGGAAGCCGTAGGGTGGTCGAACATAAGAAATATAGAAAGGGCTGTAGCCAATGGTTTCACGCCTTGCCATGTTGTAGAAGTACATAATGAGAGGGAGAATGTCATCCCGATTCTCGTGCCTTGAATTTACGTACATATAAATAGTATTGGCGAGGCCTCTGTTCGTGCGCTCGAGAAGACCGTTTGTCTACAGGTGATAAGAAGTCAAAACGAAAACAACAATCACAGAGACGCAAGAGCTCTTTAACTACGTCGCCAACGATCTGGATGATCACTCACAATAATACGAGGTGATCTATGGTGAAGTATGACTGAATACGGGAGGTAACTGGAAACATCGACTGTCGTGACTGCTGGCATAGCTGCGGTCCCTTCAAGATGCTTCAAGTGGTCAAGACAAACAATTACCCTACACTTGTTGTCTGACGAGTGCAAGAAAGGGCCGACCAGATCAACTCCCATCATTTCGAAAGGTGTTGAGAGTACGAAAGGGTCAAGTAGTCCAACCAGGACAGTGTTCAGGTGCTTGTATTGTTGGCATTTGTCACAACTTTTCTACGGTCCTTAGCAATCTAGGCCAGCAGAAAATACTTTAGAATATGCCCATCATCGTGCATAGCACGGAGCACATATTCTAAAGTCGTTAGGACACCCAACAGTAGGTTGATTGATTGATTTGTGGGGTTTAACGTCCCAAAACCACGATATGATTATGAGAGACGCCGTAGTGGAGGGCTCCGGAAATTTTGACCACCTGGGGTTCTTTAACGTGCACCCAAATCTGAGCACACGGGCCTACAACATTTCCGCCTCCATCGGAAATGCAGCCGCCGCAGCCGGGATTCGAACCCGCGCCCTGCGGGTCAGCAGCCGAGTACCTTAGCCACTAGACCACCGCGGCGGGGCACCCAACAGTAGGTGTGCGCTGTCAGCTGCGTAATTCTTATAGAGCAGGTTATCTTAGATAACAAAGCCATTGTTGCTTTTCGGCTGAGCAGCTGAATTAAAAAGGGCATCCAAGCTACAGTTGTTGCTCTGTTCTTTTCGGAAGGTGAAGAAGTCAAGAAAACGTGCATAGCCAATGACGGCTTGGAATTCGTCAAAACTGTCAGTGTCACAAGCAGTTGATGGCAGCAGGAGCTGCGAAAGACAATGCATGCTGGCTGGCACTCTTGTAATGAATTGCAAAGGCAAATTTCTGCAAGCCCTGTGCCCACCGAGCAAGGCGACTGCACGGATCAGAGAGGTCAACTAAACAACATAGTGAATGATGATCAGTAACAATCGTGGAGTGATGGTCGCAGGGATATTGGCGGAACCTCTGCACAGCAAGAATGACAGCGAGACACTGTTGCTTCGTGATGATGTAGTTCTGTTGAGCCTTGATCAACGAATGCTTGGGATAGGCAATGGCATGCTCGGCGTCCCCGAAACCCTGGATGAGGATAGTACCGAGGCCTATTTCATTTGCGTCGGTTTGCACTTCTGTTGTGGCAGAAAGGTCAAAATGGTGGAGTATTGGCGCGGAAAAGAGCATGGACTTTAGACGCCGAAACGAAGATTCGCAATCCATTCTCCAGGTGAAAGGCTTGTCCATGCATCCCAATGAGGTCAGAGGGTATACAGTGTTGGCGAAATTGGGTACAAAACATCAGAATACGAGCAAAGACCTAAGAAATTCCTTAACTGACATTGCGACTGCGATTGCTAAAAAATTGATCACTATAGTAAACCTTTGTGAGTTCTGGCCATACACCAAGCTTGCCGACGAAATGTCCAAGCACCTCTCGTTGGCCAAACTGACATTTATCCGAGTTCAGGGTAAGGGCAGCCTGTTCAAGGCACGTCAAAACAACATGAAGTCAATGGTTGTGTTCTCCAAGAGTAATTATAGTTTTATATTATCTGGCAGTTTCAAGTACCTGTGCGAACTGGGCATATGGACAAAGCCATGGTCACTAACTAACCGAGGTAGCAATGCGGACCGTGCTGCCTGGTTTCAGCTATTTGGGAACACTGTTTTCACTATTCTAGGTTGCGCTTTTGCGATGTTTTGCACTCTGCGTGCTCGAAAGATTGTCCAAATGAATCGAGTTGCAACCAAACTTGACCCAATTAATGAGTTTGATGCCAATAAGCAATTCGTACACTGGCCAGTACATGAAAAGACATCCGAATTTGAATTTTTTAAATTAGAGGGGGTCAAACTAATGAGCTTTTACTGTATTCAAACTTCATTATAACAAAGTTGTATCTCGCACAAAAATAACTTTGTTATATTTGAAAATTCATTACAAAGATATATTTCTAAACTATATATATTACCCGACTATTCATTAAGTTTGTTATAACCAATACTTCGTTATATCTAGGCTTCAGTGCACTTACCAGATGAATCAGACCTGCCTCAACGTTAATGCATTGTGGCTGTGCTGGTGTATAAAACCATCGGCAAGGACTGTTTGGCAATGTAGTGCACACATGCAATAGCCCTGCCCACGTAGCTATGGCTTTGTAGAAACTAGTCTGTTACGAAATCGATTGTCTATGAATCCCTTCACAAGAATAGGCCCTAATCACTGAAAAACATTCATCGTAAGCAAGCTGCAAGATGAATGGTGTTTCAAGCTCACCTTTCTTGCAGCTAAATGCAACGGTGTTTGCCCAGCATGGTCACTGTGGTCAGGCCTGGCCCCAGCACGAAGCAGCACCTGTGCTCCATGGCTATCACCCAGCATGACACAGAAGAAAAGTGGAGTCCGGCCAAACCGATCCCGCACCTCGAGCTTTCCTGGTTCTAGCGACCCGTGCTGAGACCAGTCGGCTCGAAGTGCACACAGGTGCAGCTCAGACTGGCCTTCATCAAGCTGCACCCAAGGTGGCAACATTTTACTGTTAGACACAACAGAATACACTCCACCAACTGTTGTATTATGTTGTACTTGAAAACAAAAAGAGGATGACCTTAATTTTATGTTTGGCGATCCCATGCCGCCAATTTCCCACACGATGGGTGCCCTCCCAAGCAACAATTTAGAGCTTAGTTCTGCCAAGCACCAGGCCAGAAGTGTGCTTGTATCTATTTCACCAATGGGTACCCGGCAGCAACAATTTTGTGCTTCTTACAGCAGCAGCGGATGCTCAACTATTTCACCAAGGCTGTGGTGGATTAAGGTGTGCCCAAGGGCCTTTGCAAGGTCTTATAGGGAGGACCACCTTTTGAGATGAGCATCCATGAACAACCGAGTGCAGGGTCAGTGTATTCCTCTACTCATTGGGAAAAATTGGAGAGTTCCCAGTCACCACTGAGAATCAAACTCAGTTCCTCCCGCATTGGTAGATAACGCTCTAATCTTGTAGACACCACCACCGCAGACTATATAAGTTGCAATCTTGTATATAGAAAATGAATGAAAGGTGAGAAAAAAGATAATCCATTCCATCAGTGGCATTCCACACTTGGCATCTTGGCTAAGTGTGGCAACAGCCCCAGGGACAATGTACACAGAGATTCCAATCTATGAAAGTAGACGGCGATTATGTGGTAGCTCGATTGGTAGACACGTACACAGAGATTCCAATCTATGAAAGTAGACGGGGATTATGTGGTAGCTCGATTGGTAGACACATCAGATGCATGATTCCAAGGTTGTGGGTTCGGGTCCCACCAACAAAAAGGGGTACTTTTTTGTCCACTTTTTAATTCCTTTCAATATCGTCCCCTATTCTTCATTAATTGTAGGATTTATTTGGTTGGGTCTAACAATAAAATGAGGCCTAGAAAAAAATTCTTTTGAACATTTTGTCATGTTGACTTCCTGCAGACAGTTTCCCCCACACAGCGCGGCGCAGGGGAATTCTCTCGGTCGGCAAGGTGACAGCGCTATCTCCTGTGCCTCACTGGAATCTGCCCTGTGTTTGCAGACAGTTTAGCGATTTTCAGGTAATTGGTATGATTACTTCTGTTCAATATATTAGTTTAGACCTTGTGAAGTAATATCACTGTTTTTGTTGGGCCAGGACCACCAGCCAAGAAATTCAATCGGTTCAAGAGTGCACACACAGAAACAAAAATATATTTACAGTGAAAAATGTAAACGCTAAAGATGCATAACTAAAATCAGGCTGTCCCCTGCAGGCCTTTCTAAATGCATGTCTGGATTGAAAGGCTCCCGCTGTGTTCGTTTGTAGCTTCTTGGTCGCCGCTCATTCAACACTATGCGCCTCAGGCTCACTGGTGTCCTCAGCCAAGTCAGTCCGGGCCATGGGACGGCTGTCTGCCCCACCCATGGCAGTATGATAGCGGTAGCTCACCAGCCACCACACTTGTCCTGGCAGCATACCAGGGTTGTGCCAGCCACCTGGAACGGCAGCCGAAGCAGTGGTCCACAGCAGACCGGAACTCGCAGCCACTCTACAGCGGTGGGAGCAGCGGCACCTTGCCTGAACCTTGGGCCAGTCTCCCAGCCAAACTGCAGGCCTCGTCCGTCGATTGCACAGCTGTCAGGGACAGCAGCTGGATGAGCAGAGCACCACCTGGTCCCTGGGCCGGTCACCCAGCCGGATTACAGGGACAGGTCATCATGCCAAGGACGTCCACGATTTCTCCGGATCGGACGTCCAGCCAAGAACTGGCTCAGTTGCTGCGAGACAGTTCTCCAGGCCTCGAACGCTGGCACGTGTGCTTTCCCCGTCAGTGCATGCACTCTTCCTTGTTGTTTCGGTTTCGTTTTTCTATACTACACCCCAGACGTTTTTCAATCACCTTGATTCAGGTTGGAGCAACACTAGCCCTGCTATAGCCGGTAGTGAGTGCTTTATTGATCCCACCAGATGTATGGATGAACAACAAGCCACGTCCCTGTCCGCACTTAAAATGAATATTCAAGCAGAAATCGAACCAAAGCATTTTGAGTGGCAGTCAGGTATTCAATCGTAGGGCCACAACAGTACTTGAAACTGCCTTCTTCTAAAGCAGTTCACATTTATTGACCTTACTGATTTTACGCCCAATGTCGGCGTAGGGTCAGTGCAACATTAATTGTGGTTGCAGTACTGGCAGATTTTATGACAAAGCGATAAACATTACACACTTACTCCTATTCTACAGGCGTCATAGCAGTTTATACCTGTCTAATAAACATTACGTTCGCATTCCTATGACTTAGCAAACTATATTTAGGCATTGCTCAACCTCGCAGGCATAGATTAAAGCTACGTATAATATTCAAGTCATCACACCATAAGGTGGACAGTTTTGATAATACTATTCTGGTGACAATACTGCCACGTCCCTTGCACAAGTTTTGTCACCCCATTATACTGTATGTAATTCTCAGTGCAAACTACACATGCAATGTTCGAGAAGCTTCGGGACTGCAGTGGATCATTTTGTTAAGATTACGCCCGCTTCGAGAGTAATACAGATTATTCTGAAACCTACGTCGCCACTAGCGATAACGCTATAGCGTTCGTTGGCAAGAGTATAAATGCCGACACGCTTCGCTGCTTGTCAGTTGATCGACTGTCGACGCTCCGTTTGCCGTCATCAGTGCAAGTCTGCTACTGTAACGACTTTCCGTTTACCGGGCACAGGTTTGCCCAAATAAACAGTTTGATCTGACAATCCAGCCTCCTGCCTTCAGCCACGTCACGACCCTGTGATAATATTCGTATTAAAAAAATATCACTGTATTCAAATTTGCTTCAATTGATTGATATGTGGGGTTTAACGTCCCAAAACCACTATATGATTATGAGAGACGCCGTAGTGGAGGGCTCCAGAAATTTAGACCACCTGGGGTTCTTTATTGTGCACCCAAATCTGAGCACACGGGCCTACAACATTTCCGCCTCCATCGGAAATGCAGCCGCCGCAGCCGGGATTCGAACCCGCGCCCTGCGGGTCAGCAGCCGAGTACCTTAGCCACTAGACCACCGCGGTGGGGCCAAATTTGCTTCAATTCCAATGTAAATTGCTGAAAATTTTGAAGTCGTATTCGAAATGAACAAATGTATGTCTGCATGTAATCTCCTGTATAGGTGGTTTCACTGCTGTGAAGGAGTGCTAAGCCAAGAAAAGGTTTATCAAGGCCAAATCCGCACTGCCACGAAGCCCCCACTTCAAGGTTGAATGGACATGTAACCCTCGCATCAATTCATCCTTTTTGAAGTTTAAAAGCTTTTCATAACGGCTGATATGCTCCTAGTTTAGTCAATCTTATATCGTAACATATCTTGCAAGTTATCACTAGGATTCTACTGAAAGTCAAATACAGCTACTACAATTTAAAGTTGTTTCCACTTTTTTTGAACCAAAAAGAATGGTACTTGCCGAGGCCTTGTTCGAATTTTTAAAAAATATTGCGCAGGTTAGTTGTGTCATGACAAATATGCCCATTTTTTTCATAACATCTGACGTATACCATATGAATTTGATTCAAAATTGATCGACTACAAGCACTATTTGCTTCGAACATAAAATTCACTATTCGTACAAGCCTAGATAATACTCATGTCTGTGCTGTAGCGAGAGTTTCAACGTTATGTCAGACCAATACGTTGCCCTTCAAACAATAGTTAAGTTGATATTCCTGGTGATCCCATGGTGTGCACACAACTGCTTGCAAAAACACCGCAATCCAGAATAAAAGCCCAAAAATTCGGCTTTGGTGTTAGTAAACAAACTGCCTCGCCGAACGGCCTATCCCAGCAGACTTCTGGTGCGCCACTTCAGGTAATGTTTCTTCAATGGTCCCGGCAGTGTTTTCGTGGTGTGTTTGAGTTTGCTGCTCTATTATTTATGGCGCATTCCTTAGAATGTATTTGGTGCCACGTCTAGAGGCCACATGAATGGGCTCGATGTAGTGAATGGCAGTTGCAGGTGCGGCCTCTGCTGCAGGTAACACGGCTCGTGTGGCCGATAGGCGCCGCACAAAATATCCACCGTAGTGTTCCGATGAGCGCAGCCCCTTCCTCCGTGTTACCTCTGGCAGTGACCGCACCTGCAGGACAACTTAATTGGGCCAGTTCGTTCTGCCTGTCGATGTGGACGCGCCTTGAAGACACGGACAGAGAAATTGACTGCGCACACCTGTGTTTTCTCTTTCCGCGTCTTCAAAGTTCACCCACATTGTCGACATGCAGGAGAAGAGTTGCCCAATCCTTAGTGAAGTTGTTCAATTCAGCTTTTCGACTAGAACTGAAAATCTTCCTACTGTCAAACCCTACAACCTCAAGATAAAACGATTATTTTTTCGCCTGCGTCACGCCGGGCACTCTTTATAGAGATCATTGGCTTTTGGAATTGCTCGCGATCCAAAGTGTTCCTGTGACCAAGAAAATATAAAATGTACTGGTTATGTGTTGACATCAACTGAGGCTTGGTCACGCTAACTAGTATGATTTACTCACGAGTAAGCTATTCATGAATCAAACTTTTAAGTTGAACCCACCTAAGCCATGTTAACACCAAAAGATAAATGAGCTAGAATGCAGAGATATTAATTAGCGGCAGAAAGACAGGTGATGAGTCATTTGCTCGCACAGATGAGTGCCCACTCGCCGGCGTCACTTTCAAAAAAAAAAAAAAAAGAAATCAAATGCAACGACAACTAAACATGGACACCATGACATACACAGTGTGGCGATTCATGCAAAGCATGGCTACTTTGTGCCTCATGTTGTTTCAAGCTGTACACATCGTTATTATTGTTCAAACTATACAAGAAACACCTTTGTGATAAATTTTCAGTGTTCGCTTTCACGTTTTGTTACCCATTTCACGCGTCAGTACACGTATCTGCCACAAGTGGGAGACGACAGCGACTGATGTATTCCCGGTAACCGGGACCTTCGACTAATCTAA